AACATACATTTACATTTAATAATCCTTCAAAATAATTCATGAGTAAATATTTTCCAAATTTATTACATTTTATGAAATTGATCTCTATCATGAGACTTAAATAGGAATTATGTATTTAATAGGATATAATAGATTGATGAACATGATGGATCTGATACAGATGAGAAGGGGCCGATCGATAAAACGAGAGCAGCATATGTACAAATGAACAACTCAAAACAACTGTCTGTCAATCAATACCAAGGTCAGAATTTTCAATACAAATATCAAAACAGTTCTACTGTATGAGGTGGAAACTTCGAGAAATACGAAAGCCATCATACACAAGATACAGGTGTTTATTAACAGTTGTCTATGCAAAATACTTGGGATCCGTTGACCAGACACTATCGGCAACAACCTACTATGGGAAAGAACAAACCAGATCCCAGCGGAGGAAGAAATCAGGAAGAAGCGCTGGAAGTATATAGGACACACATTGAGGAAATCACCCAACTGCGTCACAAGACAAGCTTTCACTTAGAATCCTCAAGGCCAAAGGAGGAGGAGGAGGAGAGGCAGATCAAAGAACGCATCACGCCGACAAATGAAGACAAACGTGAGAAGAATGAACGAAAATTGGATAGAACTCGAAAGGAGGTAAGAGTGGGAAAGATTGAGTTGGAGAATAATAGTCAGTGGATTATGCTCCATTAGGAGTAACAGGCGTAAGTAAGTAGAATATTATAGTTATTCAAAGAGTATAATACAGTGAAATAAATTTGGAAAGAGGAAAAAAGACAAGAAGGATTCAGAAGATTAGAATTTGGGAGGACACAAAGAGTGGATGCACATGCGCCATTGCAAACGATTTTGAGCCATGTCATTCAAAGTCTTTAACTATCGGTTGCTGTCGTCTCGCGGATCCTAACCAGGTAGTCTACACCCACCAACATGGTTGAGTCCACTTGTCAGTGACTTCATGGATTTGTGCCATGTTTTATTTTGGCCGCCCCTACCTTTATTCCAACCTACTCCTACACCATAAAACATCGCACGTCGGGGCAGTCTGTGGTTGGTCATACGTAACACATTTCACAGCCATCTTAACTGATGAAGTTTCGCTACTTCATCAATTGATTTGTCATCTTTATATAATACCCGTCTCCTGTAGACCTCGATCTTAATTGGTTATCGTTGACCTTTAACCTGTAATTATTAACTTGTTTATTTTGATTGTATCTCCATTCATTTGATTCTTGGTCCCATATTTATCCATGATTTTTTCTGATTGGTTGGTAGATTGGATCAATTTTAATGTAACTGTTGATTGCCGATTAACCTTATTGCTAAACGTTTAGAAATCCTTTGGTACTTTAACTATTTCCTCTATCTAAGATCTTAATATTTTCCCAATCAAATGTATGTCCACAGTTATCCCTATGCATTGATATAAGTAAGAATATATCATGGAGTTTGAAGTTTCTGCTGATAATGTCATTCATAAGAACAATGAAAATTTCACAACTAAACCAACCAGTTCAGAGAATAAAACTCCGTCTAAATCACTTATCTGAGATGCCATCTCAAATTCATATCCTTATTTGATGTGGCTGAAGAGAACTTAAGAAATCGAAACTCATTTATCTATATTTCTCTATATTTTACTTTATTCAAATAGGGGGAAAAATTGTATACAATGTAAATTCCAATTGAACATATATGAATTGAACTATTCGATTAAATATTCTATGATAAAAAATGTTCTCTGATTGTATAAACATCACAACAACAACAACAACGACAACAACAAATGGTAACCAATTAATCAATAATAAAATGAAATCATTAATTCGTCCATATTTATTATTATTCTAATAAATAATAATAATAATAGCAATCTTGGCATGAACAATAATGTACATATTGTTTATTATACATAGTGATAGATGTAATCTGAGTAATGAGCATAGAGAGGGAGATAGAAAGAGAGAGATAAATAGATAGATAGATAGTTATAGATATATTGACCTATGGTGCATCAGTTATTTTCTTTCTATTTTTTTCTTTCTTTCCTTCTCATACTTATCATGTAATTTATTCGATAAACAATAAAAATAATCGATCAATATATTGATCATAATCAAAACTGTTTTAATTTCATGTGAAATATTAATAACTCATCATTATGATATTTTACAATACTTCTAGTTAAGTTACTTACTTACTTACGTGTGTTACTCTCAATGGAGCAAAGGCCATCGATAAGCATTCTCCAACCCACTCTGTCATAGGCCCTTTTTTTCTAGTTCCATCCAAATCTTGTTGATTCTTCTCATGTCTATCTCCATTTCCCAGCGTAATGTGTTCTTTGGTCTTCCTCTACTCTTCATTCGTTCTTGAGGTTTACAAGTGAGGAATTGCCTTGTGATGCAGTTGGGTGATTTCCTCAAAGTGTGTCCTATCCACTTCCAGCACTTCTTCCTGATTTCTTCCTCCACTGGGATCTGGTTTGTTCTCTCCCACAGTACGTTGTTGCTAATAGTGTCCGGCCAATGAATCTGAAGTATTTTGCATAGACAATTGTTAATAAACACCTGTATTTTCTGGATGATGGTAGTGGTAGTTCTCCAGGTTTCTGCCCCATACAGTAGAACTGTCTTGACATTTGTATTGGAAATCCTGAGTTTGGTGTTGATTGACAGACAGTTGTTTTGAGTTCCAGATGTTCCTCAGTTGTAAATATGCTGCTCTTGCTTTGGCGATCCGCGCCTTCTCATCTGTATCAGATCCACCCTGTTCATCAATGATGCTGCCCAAATATGTAAAGGTTTTTACATCTTCCAAATCTTCTCCATCAATTTTGATTGGATTGGTGTATGCTGTGTTGTATCGGAGAATCTTGCTTTTCCCTTTGTGTATATTGAAACCTACTGCTGCTACTGAGACTGCTGCTACTCTGGTCGTCTTCTCCTGCATTTGATGTTGCGTGTGAGATAGAAGAGCCAGGATATCTGAGAAGTCTAGATCGTTCAGCTGCATCTTATCTGTCCAGTGTATCCTGTGCTTCACTCCAGATGCTGACATCTTCATGATCCATTCGATCAGAGGAGAAAGAGAAAGGCTGAGAGTAAGCAATTTCGCCTGATTCTGGTTAAGTGAATAATAATAATTATTATTATGATAAGTGGTTAACACTAAAGTTTATCAGTTAATCAGTCAGCTACAACGTAGGATCAGGCACATATATGAAGCGATTCAAGTTGCCACAAATCATTAGCACAACAAGATGAACAACGAATTCATACAAGTGGTTAATTCATATGAAACTGTTCATCAGTGCGCATCCATTATCCCCAAAGTGTAACTCGAACCCACGATTCACTTCCGAGGTGGTGGTCTAGTTTAGATCAACTCATAAATTCAACTATTGAAATGAATAAAGTCTCCACAAATTCTCATGCTGATTATCATACTAATGTTTTTGATAGCTTTCCCACTGATCTAAATCTATATTTGGATATTTCATTGACAACGTATAACATCAATTACATGAATCGCCTTTTTAAGAGGTGCCCATTTAAAAACAAACAAACAATGAATTGCACATACTTTGGATACCTTTCCAGTTTGTTTGTTTCTTTATGATTCATAATATTTATAATAAAAAGAATGTTTGTTTGACCCTAGTCTTCAAATCACGAACTAATTGTGCTTTTATAGAAACAGAGGAATCTAATCTCTTTCATTAGTTAATTGATTATTACTCGTTTATAATAGGAGAGATTATAGTAATTGTTTTGTTCAAATGACCATTACTATTGTTGGTTGCTGAACCCAGCTTATTATTATGTAATTAGGCAACGAAACGTTTTATGTAAGTCGACAACGTCGAAGAATATATACTCATGTAAATATTTTGAATTACACCTCATCACTAATATTGGCTGTGTACGTGTATATACAAGAATATATATGTAGATATTTAAAAGAATAAGGACTAAACGTTTTCGTTGAAGTGAACATCGGTTATTCACACGTATAGAAGATCTTGTAAATATTTCTTTAAAAGCATTTAAGGTTGCTACTGTTGACGTGTAATATCATTAAATTAAATTACTTACTTACGCCTGTTACTCCTCGTTGAGGAACATAGGCTGCCCACCAGCACTCTCTATTCAACACTGTCGTGGGCAATCCTTTTCAGTTCTTTCCAGTTGTTATTCATTCTTTTCATATCTTCTTCTCCTTCTTCGGTCTTCCGCTTTTTCGCTTCTCTTCAGGATTTCAAGTTATGGCTTCCTCGTGATGCAGTTTGGTGATTTGCGTAATGTATATCCTATCGATTTCCATCGCCTTAAGAAAGTTATAAACTATTAGATTCCGACTGTATGACTAGTTGGTATTATTCTCGCATTGAGTATTGAGTTTACTAAGGTATGAAGTTGTGATTGTATTCTTATTGTGAGTTCTAATCTATTAATATAAACTATTTTACTGCTTTCTGGTGTCAGCCCGGGATGAAATTAATCTTCACACTAGGACGAATGGAGAAGAAAGTTAAGTGGTTAGAAGCCGTTAGAAGGATATACACGACGTATGTCTCTTGCTGTTCAGTACTCCTCAGTAAGGTGTACTTGTGCTGTATCTGTAATCCCGGCTAATTCTCACGTGGTTTATTCGACAATGGAAATGCGACTTATACAATCTTAGTACTATGTCAAACCAATGATGTTGACCGGTATGAGCAGCCTAGTGTCCTTATTGATTCTTTGTTCTCCTAGCCTGTCCAGTTGAGTCCAGAACGCCAATTACAGCTTCCACTATGCGAATCATTCATTTCAAACATAATTGGTCTATATATCAGCTAAACAGACCGCATCACTCCATAAATAGGAAATAAAATTTACACAAGATCAAATCAAAAAGTGACTGTGAACGTCGGAGACGGCAATTAATAAACTGAGTATAATTTAAGAATAGTAAATCGTATCATAATAGTCTATAGGTGAAAATGCAGCTTATAATATGGGGAATATGAATATACATAATCTATACAACAAGTATATAGTAGTAGTAGTAGTAGTAGTAGTAGTAGTAGTAGTAGTAGTAGTAGTAGTAGTAGTAGTAGTAGTAGTAGTAGTAGTAGTAGTAGTAGTAGTAGTAGTAGTAGTAGTAGTAGTAGTAGTAGTAGTAGTAGTAGTAGTAGTAGTAGTAGTAGTAGTAGTAGTAGTAGTAGTAGTAGTAGTAGTAGTAGTAGTAGTAGTAGTAGTAGTAGTAGTAGTAGTAGTAGTAGTAGTAGTAGTAGTAGTAGTAGTAGTAGTAGTAGTAGTAGTAGTAGTAGTAGTAGTAGTGATATTCACGAAATATACATACTATGCATTAAATTGAAAATGAATGATATTCCTTTCATAAGTACATTAACAGTATGATTCAAGTCGAAGTTTACTATACAAAATATCACGGAAACAGTAATATTTTATGGAACATTGTTTTGTTTTTTGTATTTTTATATTTTAGGAAACATCTACACAGTAAAACTCATAGTGCTGTATTGTATTATCTATCATATGATCATATTATGCAATTGTTTTAATCATATTACACTTAAATAATTTAAATGCTTCAATCTAATTGATTGCCCCAATTTTTTATTGAATAATATAATACAATATTGCCTGTGGCAAGCTGTTCTCTTTGTTTTTTATACAATATAAACTCAATTCATTACGGTCATTGTAAAACTTTCATTTGAAATAAAAGAACTGTTTTTTTTTCGCTACTTGGTGACAGATATTCTAACTTACTTACTTACTTACTTACTTACTTACTTACTTACTTACTTACTTACTTACTTACTTACTTACTTACTTACTTACTTACTTACTTACTTACTTACTTACTTACTTACTTACTTACTTACTTACTTACTTACTTACTTACTTACTTACTTACTTACTTACTTACTTACTTACTTACTTACTTACTTACTTACTTACTTACTTACTTACTTACTTACTTACTTACTTACTTACTTACTTACTTACTTACTTACTTACTTACTTACTTACTTACTTACTTACTTACTTACTTACTTACTTACTTACTTACTTACTTACTTACTTACTTACTTACTTACTTACTTACTTACTTACTTACTTACTTACTTACTTACTTACTTACTTACTTACTTACTTACTTACTTACTTACTTACTTACTTACTTACTTACTTACTTACTTACTTACTTACTTACTTACTTACTTACTTACTTACTTACTTACTTACTTACTTACTTACTTACTTACTTACTTACTTACTTACTTACTTACTTACTTACTTACTTACTTACTTACTTACTTACTTACTTACTTACTTACTTACTTACTTACTTACTTACTTACTTACTTACTTACTTACTTACTTACTTAACTTACTTACTTACTTACTTACTTACTTACTTACTTACTTACTTACTTACTTACTTACTTACTTACTTACTTACTTACTTACTTACTTACTTACTTACTTACTTATTACTTACTCCTGTTACTCCCAATGGAGCATAGGACGTCGACGAGGTTTGAATTATTTTTTTGCTTAGCGATTTTTTTAGCGAGTTAGTTTTTTACGTGATGGGTTCGCTAACCCATCCTCCTTTATTCGGGCTTGGGATAGGCAGTAGCCGCAGAGCAGCTCCAGGCGGAGTTGGAGACGGATATTCATGATTCATTAATTTGTAGAAAAATAGACAATCATGTTCTTATATTTAGGACTATAAAAAAGAAAAAAAACTACATTCCTAGGTTATATAATTATGGTCTCATTTCTTCAATGAAAATGTCTTTAATACTGTTATAGATGATCTTGAGTAAATATAAATTAGCTTTACAGAAGGAAATCAAAAAAACCCACCACCTCTACTTGAAGTTTGTGCTATTGATGATGTCGTTCAGAAGAAGAAGAACAATAAAAGCTCCACGACCAAACCATCCAGTTTATAGAACAAAATCCCATCAAAACCAACAAACAAACATTAATCATTGAATCATAGTGTTAAAAGAAATCTGCCAAATATGTTTATTGACATTGTCGCTTAATTATTATTAAACCACAAGAATAAAACTATTTATCCACTAGATTTACTGGTATGTTGCTCATTTACTTATGATTACTTGGATTTAAACTATACACTAAATGTAAAGTAATACGCACAGTTCGCACATATGTCAATAAGAGACTAATCAATTACAGTCTTAAACATCAATGAGAACATTCAAACAAACAATACCAAGTGAGCTTATGTGTATAGGTGTTTAAAAACTGGTAATACTACACTAATATACACAAACTGAGATAGAGTAGAGTTTGAGAGATGATCTTCTATTCTAATCATTAATTTATTCAAATATTATATAATCATACAAGTATTAAAGTGATCTTGTTTAGTTCAGATCAATTTCTTGATTTTATGACAGAATGAATTATACATTTGACTTAAGAATTATGGAGTTTTCATTCTGTTATTTAAACTTATTATGGATAAACATATTACTAACTGCCCATTTCCAATTAATTATTGAGTTAATATTGTACAGAAATCAGTTAAAATACTGACAATTAACTGATAGGTTTATTTAAATCTATGGATAGAATTGATGAGTTATTGGTTGTCTTACAATCCTGACTTTCATAATTGGTTTTCAATCTTTTTATTGGACAAATGATTGACGAAACATTTTCTGTAAGTACTTGTTGAAATGATACATTTTGATGGGTTTTTGTTCTCTGAACTAGATGGTTTGGTCGTGAAGCTTTCATCGTTCTTCTGAACGACATCATCAGCACAAACATCAGATAGAAGTGAAGTGTTGGAATTTCTCCATACATGTTTCACAGCTCGTTCTGTGCTGATGATGTCGTTCAGAAGAACGATGAAAGCTTCACGACCAAACCATCCAGCTCAGAGAACAAAACTCCACCAAAGTCTAATGAATATAATTTTCTGGAGTTCTTCAGTTGATGATAGTTCTTAACAATAAACATTGATTGTAAGTCCAAAGAAATATATCAAGTGATAAAATGAACATGCTGAATGTCGGATTAGTCGTTCAATGTTTACTAGTTTTAAGGTCCTCATTCAAGCAAAGAATTTTCCTTTATGGAATTGCTTATTTCAATAGTAAATCTTTCTAATTGATATTCATTCTATTTTATTTGTTAGTGCACAAACTATGCATATAATATGGTATTTTCTCTCAATTTAAAATACATTTCAAGACTATAGGATATTAAACATTCCCATCAAAGCATTAAAACCACAAATTGAATGAAGAAATATTGCAATGATGAGAAAAATTTATCGCTCAGGTGGTTGATTTTGGTCAAGTTTCGTTCTGTGAGCTGGATGGTTTATTTGTGAAGCTTTCGTTGATCTTCTGAAGAATATAATCAACAAAATATTCAGGTAGAAGTGAAGTATTAGAATTTCCTAATATATGACTAACAGCTTGTCTTGTCAACCTTTAAAATTCATTGGTTAATGATGACCTGTAACCTTTCATTATCCGCCTATTTATCTTGATTCTTACACTTGATTTATTTATTATCTATCCCATTAGGTAGTTGGTTGGTGGCCTGCATCATACACTTGTTGAGAGAACGTGCTGACGAAGACATTCTTGGAGAATGTGAAGTTTTTCTCGAGTGGAAGAAATATTGCTTTTGGCTTAGTACCACATTTCAAGATACATCACTAATCAATAATTTTGCAGTTAAGAATACAATCAATATCTTATATTAAATGGTAGTCAATCAATTCAACAGTTTTCTCTAAAACAATAACCAGTTAACATGGTGGTTGGAGGTAGTCAACAGGAAACCTTGGACACGGGTTTCGTGCTACTTGGCACTTGTTAGCAAAGTTTACATGTAATCTTGAGGAAACTGATGCTCCCTGACGGATTCGATCCCGTGTCACCCAGCTTCACTGTCACAGACGTTACTACCGGGCTATCCGGGCCGCGACCGACTTCCTGTAGGACTGAGATGTAATGACAACTGATTGACCACTGGGTAATGATCAATGTCATGTGTGTCAAGTGCTTATTAATACAGATCGAATACTATCGACCAAGTTGTAATATGGCCACTAGTCTAGCATGAAATCCGTGTCCAGGCTTTCTTGTTGACTACCCCCGACCACCATCTTATCTCAACATAGTGCACACAATGTCGAGTCACCTAGACTAGTAGTCACATTGCAACTTGGTCGATTGCACTCAATCTGCACTAAGAAGGACTTGACACACATGACATTGATCATTAGCCAATGATCAACCAGTTGTGACTGTAACCAGTTTGCTATTCAGTAGATGTGAATAATGTAACATTTCTGAAGACAAGTATATGTAATCGAGTAGTTACATAAACTCGTCACGTAACAATTACGTAAGAGTGAATAATTATGAAATGAAGCATTTGAATAAGAAATGTTTGATGTTGTTAGTAAAAATGAGTAATATCAATTTGTTAAATAATCCGATTGTTAGGATTGATTGATAGATAGATAAATCACGTAAAATGAAGTTTTACACTGAAATAGAATATAAGTGAAAAGTGTTGAGAAACGTAGTCATGACAGTGAAGACAGTGATGATGATGATGATGATGGTGGTGGTGGTGGTGGTAAATTATGGTGTTTGGTAAATGTTTTCTATACACAAATATTAGGTTTGTTGATGTGTATAATTGTGACTTTTATTGTGTGTAAAAGATGAAATTTGGACATATTCCGTAAGTTCAATAGGATTCTATAAATTAATATGAAAGCTAATTTTCTATCAAGATGGTGACTAATATCTACCAAATGTGTCAAAATAGAGATTTTTATTATTCAGTCTTCTCCGTTGATCAACTAAGATGGTTAATATTTAGAAATTCAATGGTGTATTTGATCCAACATAACTGGCTCCACAGGATCAGATGAACTAGTAAATACGCATAGGGGCGGTAGAACTAAGCATTTGTCCTTATTTTATGAACTCATTTTTAACTGGCTGAAGAAAAAAGGACATATTCTAGCTGCATTAGATGTATATTTTAAGGCTTTGTGTCTTCGTCACATCAATATCTGGTTGGTTGTATTACTTTTGAAATAAATCCTTCTTCAGTATTATAGATGATGTTCCTGTAGGTTCTTTTATGAATATATGTTTAGTTAGGAACTTTGATGGGTATCCATTTTTACTCAATAAATCATAGATAACTTCTAGTTCTAGTCTGCATCTACCAACATGGCTCAGATTGGAAGTTAATGACTTGAAGCACTGATGCCACATTTTGGTTTGACCGCCCTTAACGGTGATGATGGTGGT